TTAGATTGCTGCCATATTGTATTTTACTAAGTCGATGCGGGCGCACTCCATTTCGCATGATTACGCAATAGAGCGTAGTGATTTTGCGGTAACACAATATATCCCACAATGCAACTATAAGATGGGTTGATGAGACAGTTGACCGCCAGATTAACGACGGGGAGTTGGGTAAAAGACTAGGTGGGGGACAGGTCGAGTCAGTAAAACCACTAAGTGTTGATAGCAACGGCTCACCAATCTCTGTTGACGTACATACTGGGCCCTGGAACGTGCAACTCTGGGTCCAATATAAATGATGAAAATGACATGAAATACAACGACTTGTGTTATTATTATTGAGCAGCTAGAATATCACCTATGCTATTCGAAGAATGTGTTCTCAAAGCCAAGCAACATACCCCAAAGACAGTGACACTCATTCCCCTGACAACGATCAATCCACCAAACCCGCGACAGTATGAACAAACAGTTCTGAACCTATGACATTAGCGTGCAACAAGTTCGATTGGCCGATGTTACACTAATTCCAACCATTGCATTACTATATTTACTTTATTGCCTGGGTGAACGGGGTTCTCGTGATAACATATTGGGATTAGGTGCACGCAGTGTTCTTTCAAAGTCACTACTACAGTGTGTCTACTCGTCAATTCGCAACACGGTATGTCTACTATAGATACGTTCTGCATCAACTGAAAACGCGATGCCCATGAGATTAGAATGTGCCAGTGTCCGTTGTCCACAGCTTGCAGGCACTGGCAGTAGTCGGCAAACTATTATTGCGGTGCGGATTGCGATAAAGGCTTACCAATTTCACGGCTAGCTAACTGGAAAATGGACTGATTGAAAAGTTATTAGAATGTGCAAAAATAAAGTATCACTTAACTATTTAAGAAAGCAGAAATGGCAGTTTTGCCGACGGCCTATAATATCAGAACGTCATTGCCACCGCGTGTGTTAAGTTATTACAAGTGTAATTACGTGGTCTATGTTTGAAATACATTACATTCCTTTTTGATGAACTTCAAATAACCTTTACACAAACCCATGGAATGAAGCATTGTCTTCTGTTAATGCACATCGACCAACTTTTTTTGTTGTAATATTAATGTTTTGTTTGGCATTTCTGTTTTTCGTCAAATGCTGTGCAGTACGTCTTGATTTGTTGAAGGAAGACAGGTAGTTTCGGATCAAGTTTTAGTCGTTTAATATCATACGTATTTAAAATGACATCTACACATTCGTGTATGTACGATGTTGTGTTTTGCCCTCTTTCCTTTTTCTAGTGGTACATCACTCGATCCATTATCTCCCAAATGTAAATCTAGCATAAAAGTAAACGCACATATCCTACATTGTCTGTTGGCGCTTGCTAATGGCGACCCCTCAATCCAGTGTTAACATGATGAATGTTGTCGGCAAAACAGACGTAACTCGTTTATTTAAGAAAAAATCTTCTCAATGATCTACAGTGAATACTAATACTTTAGATATTTCTGTGAAGATCGTCGGCTACGTTAATAAATAAATGCTCGTTAAATAAATGCATGCCGGTAACATGAAGTAAAACAGTTTTTGCAGCAGAAAAACACAATGCGAAGTTAATAACATTACCCGTCTCTAAGCTTTGGCGAATACACCCGCTATGATATCGAATCCAAATCATCTACATTGACGTGTCAAAATCAACGGAAACAAGTTTGGTCGTTAACTAGTGTATGCCCATCATGTGACGTGTCAGTGGGCTGCAATCGGTGAAACGTGCCAAGGTTGAAATTGTATCTGACCACACCGTGGCTAGAACCCTTTGACACTGAGAATGTGATGATTCATTAAAAAGGATGTCCCCCTTAGTGTTAGTGTTTAGTAGTAATGCACCAATAAAATTTTAACTTTATTAATAAGGGCGCTAAACACTTTCTCAATTATCAATAATATTCCTAACCATAAACATTGTATCAATCTGCGGGGTGTACTCAACTTTGAGGCAATTCTTCAAGAATTCTTTGCTGAGAGTTATTTGTTTTAGTATTGACACCAGTGTGACCTTGATCCCAAAACATCTGTGCTGCGATTTTGTTATACGCAAACAATGATCCATACATGTACAGGTTACGTTTGAACCAGAACAGACCAGAACTGAATTTCGATATAAAACGGTATTTTGTGTTGGTTTCTTTGGTGAATTTAATTTGTAGTAGTGGTGTCGTTAAATAATTCATCAATTGCCAAACATAGGAACGAAACCAGGCGAGAAGTTTGTGGTTTGGAGTTCATTGCGTGCTGACACCTGCGGTGGATTCATAAATACGCACGTTCTCAAACAGCAAACATTCCGTCTCTCCTGGAAGCAAACACGTCTGCCTCAATTTATAGTATCAATCCGAGGACAGTAATTTTGACAACACTTTGTGACAGTGGAGTGAATACCTGAACGCCAGTTGTTTGTGTAAAAGAGGCAAAACTGGATAGGCAAACTAATTAACAACGTTGTTTTCCTATTAAACAGTGTATCATCAGGCCACCAAAGCCGCGCTCGATTGTGTCGGTCTGGAAATGATTGTTCATATATATGTGACGTCATGCATATCTCAATCTGATTAAAATAAGATCCTAGTTGGCTTAATTTTTTTTACGAAACCATTCTTGCTTAAATAATAATAATTATATATAAAAAAATAAGCCAACGAGGATCTTATTTTAATCAGATTGTACATATCTGTTCCCACTGAAGTACCAATTCGTTCTTCCAAGATCTAACCTTGTTACCAGAGACTAAATTCGACATATATCATGTGTAATCTGTCTTTTTCTGTATGTCTGCTTCCAAAACTGAAGTAAGTTTTTCCAAATATGGCCAAAGCGGTGACGGCTGTACTGAGGATTTAAAGATTTGCAAATTGTATTTCTTATAATGTTACAAGACCAAATAATATAGATGAATTTTAAAATGGTTCAAAGCACAATACGGCTATTTGAATAATACAATCGATGTAAACGTTTTTCTTCTAGTTTTGCTCTTTTACACCAACTGATAAATATAGAATATTCTAAATGCACCGTGCATGTATTTCACTGGCGAAATGCGAAAACACATATTCTCTGTACTATTTTCTATCTACGTTGTCATTCTTATTTTTATCACTCAGATCAACAGGTAAGATGACAAGCCTGGGTAAAATTTACTACTTTTTTTCGATGAGGATACATGTTTATTTTACGTTCACTGAGAAGAGAATCAGCACACGATGGCGATTCCTGATATTCCTGAACCTAAGTACCGCTTGTTTGATGATCGAAGCAGAATGTAGTAAATACTGTTGATAGAACAACCTCCACGTTGCGAAGCGAAGACGCTAACCAATGTTCTACGCTCAGGTATATGGCTGTTGGTGTGACCTCACACAAATCTGGTGTTATCCGCGTACCTTGATCCACGGAAGCATAATAATCAAAGATAACACTGCATCTTGCTGGGGGAGCTTGAAACTGAAAATTGTAAACTACCGCATCATATTTGCAATCAGTTGTACCATTACATTGTTCGTTCTACAAGGTATCATAGTTAATTTGCCCATCCAATAAATGGAAAAAAAACTTGCAATGTTCATGCGTTTTTCAGCAAATTTAGCTCAGACCAATCCACATTACCCCCTGGGATTATGAACACGTGTACTGTTTGTTATCGAAAGATTTGCTTATTCAACTATGACGTGTATTCATACAGCCAATCATGATCACACAAGCACACGTTATGCCGAGGTACGACATAGCACAGTCCCTCTGTGGTCAACAGTGGGCATTAAAATTGAACATCCGGTATATTTTGGATCAACTATTACTACAACTTCAGTAAATACACATGATATGTAAGGTTGCAAAGGATGAAATAATTCCGCGCAACTTGTAATTTGCATTTACATTTATTCTAACATTCTTTCCATCGCTAAATTGTACCTCGTCTGACTTTACTTGATTAATGGGCGTTGTGGGATTGTCGTGATTATATGTCGTTCCCTGGTCGTGCGACATGACACATAAGATCAAAGTACCGACAACACCGACAATATACGACAATTTATCTACAAATAGTGCCACGCGTCTTCTGGACAGCAATTCATTTGACTGGCTGTAACATTTCCGATTCGCAACAGACTTAGTACAAATTATTAAATTGTGATCATCCGATGATTACCGCACATGCGTACTTGAATTGACTTGAATTGACCAATGGGCGTTCAAGAATGTCCGTTCTTATTAACCGCAATGTGGTACATGAGATCAAAGAACCAGCAATTCAAAATATGTGCCACATTGTCTAATAATTAAAGCTACGCATATTCACAACAACAATTCGATTGGCCGAAAATTCCCAATTTTCGACAACCGATTGTTATAGCTTCCCAAAGATCACGTGACCATCGCTCAACTAGTGTGTAGTACGGTGGGGGTAAAATTGAACACTATGTGAGGCGTTATAAGAAGGATGATAACAAGTAATAACACTGGGACATTTATAATCTTTATATATTTTATATAAAATAAAACGTAGGCAAATACAAAAATTAAAGTGAAATATAAGTGATGTCATTATCATCATACAATTATAATACGTCACTGGTGCGGTTTCAGTGTATTATCGTACACGTATTTACAAAATGTTTAACTATAATTATATACATCGATTGGCCTTAGAAATTATTATAAAAATAGTTATTTTATAACGGCCATGTTTAATCATTCCTCGTTGTTGAGAGGGGTACTACTCTTGTATGCTAACACAAACTATTAACTTACAAACTAACACAGTGTGATATTATTTCCAATAGCACCAATCACAAAAATAAATTATTAAAAAATATGATTAGTTATCGTACTAAGTATCGTAACTTGTCATTGTCTTGTCAAAACAATTACCATGACGTCATTATTTCATTCATGGCCGGCTCACAGAGAATAGGACAACAGCGACTCACGTGAAGTGATTAATGTTTGTTGTTCTATACCGGTGCTGTTTTTATTTTCTTCGGTCGTCCCTTGGGCTTCGTAGGTGCTTCGTCGCTTCCCCCTTGAAGAACCTGCAAGCAAACAAAATTAAGATAAGTATATATTAAGTTCACTACTAAAACAATAACATAAAACTAAGATTAACAAAATCGTATACCATCCAAATCGCGAATCACTATCGCTGTGTATAACAGACCATCCTACACTGAACCATCAAATACCCCGGATGTTTTCATCTTATTATGTTGTTTATGCGAAGTGGAGATATGTAATTAAAGTGTTTGTATTGTGTTTAATATCGCACGCAATAATTAAGAGGTGAATCAACTCAGAGACGACGATATTGCAGGCGTCCCAGGTAGCCTTGCTTCACAGCTAGAAAAACATATACCATCGTGACAGCTATAAACAACGAGTATGGCTTCATAGGGAGACTGTGGCCTTGAGTGTCTGGGTTCATAAATGTCGTAATGCCGCCACTTTGTCTTCATCTGGGCACGTTTTATCTATTTTTATGGGGGTGGGGGTCAAATGGACACTAACAAATGTGACTGACCTGTTTTTTCCATTTCATTCTTCTATTTTGAAACCATGTCTTCACCTGCAACTGAGTCAACCCTAGCGACTCGGCTAAATCCATTCTGTCTGGCGTTGAGAGGTATTTCTGTTTGTCAAATCTTTTTTCTAAACCGACTAATTGCATTTCTGTGAATACTGTTCTGCTACGTCGGCATTTCTTGTGTTTGGAATTCAATTCTGGTGACGTGGACCCCTTGCCCCTTAGATAAACCGGTACTGGGATGGATAGGGCTGATGGTGAAGATGTGGACGATAGTGTGAGGAAACCTGCGAGTGAACGAATAAATAAATATATATGATGTCATTATAATCAGTGTTTTATTTGTATAATCCTGTATTTCTTGAAAAGCAGTGTGCTGTGAAGTGTGTATTCAGTGTGATTCATGCTTCTTAGTGCTCACACTACGTGACCAGTTTTAGGGCAGATGCAGCGGTCATTATGAAGCGTTTGGCCTTTATAGCATTACGCCCAGTATTAACAAATTAAGTTGCCTCTGCGTCTTTCTTTATCACCTTATCTACATTCTGACGTTAAGTGTATTATCAGTTCAGAACCATATAGAAATGTATATCTTTAATTGATGATTATTTGCCGTGTAGTTTGTGTTGGCCGCAGTAAAACACAATGTAAAGTTACTAACATTGCCAATTTCAACACAATGATCGGATAAACGACACGGAAATAGATGTTTCTAATGTCAATCTTTCAATTTAATAACTTACGATTACTTTAACTAATTAGCAATTGGTGATTCTTAGAACATTTTGAAACCTCGATTCTGACTACCTTGACTTTCACAAACTACACTATTATGGATTCAATAGACAAAATAAATAATATCACAATAAAGACAACCTGAACTTATCAGAGATTTCGAAATACCACTCAGCAAAACGCAGTTAGCGTACGAGACAAAATACAATGATGGACCGGAACAACGTGTAAACTCTGTCTCAGAGGACATGTGATAAAGAGTTTCCTAGACCAAGTTTGTCGAACAAAATTACAAATATATATATTGTAGCGGGAAATGTAAAATGGTACTTGTGTCACTATGGTTGAATAGAAAACAGAAAAAAATGCATGGTTCATGATTTTTCACGTTTTCAAATTCATAGTAAATTTGTTTTGTTTTTTATGTTTTTATCCACATTTGCTAAACCTGACAGAATTCAACACATTGCTTTGCATGGTATAGAAACAATTATTATTATCTTCGGCATTGAAATAAAATTTGAACCAAAAAAGTAGCGTCGATTCAAATATAATGAGCAAACTAAGTGTTCAGATATTCAATAAGGGGTTCTTGGTTGAGGTCCGCAAGGTGCATGTGCTCGACCAGGCCGGGTTGATGCCAGAATCGCGTTGCACAGTAAATGGTTATAATTCATATTCACACAATTATGTCTTGTAGTCTCAAACATGGAATATAATGTATTTTGCAAAATGCACTATATGTGCCGTCAGCATTCGCACATGTAATTTGCAAACAAACAAAGTCAGTATCATTTATTGTCGACAAAAGTTTTAAATAGTTCAGATGTTGGACAACCTTGGAAACACGAAATAATTGTTTTGTCTTTATTTTTGTTTGAGGGTGAAGCTTGGTTGTAAACAGCTCTAACATAATACTGTTAGATTTTTAATTATAGTAGTTGATATTTTACTATCGAAATGGTTTGCGTCTCACGATCTTATCCACGGACTATTAAATACAAATTTCGAAAAAGTTAGAATATCAAGAATCGACGATGTTAGAAATTGTAAGCACGTAATACAATAAATTAGATTGCCACATGTTCTCGAATATAGTAAAATTGTTGTAGTGCTAGCAACCGTCTTAAGAGTGCTGGTGCGCTTTTCTGACAATGAAAAGAACGTAAATTTCACCGGAAATGTTAAGGTTATTACTGGGAACGCTTAATCATAACTTTTCAATATTAGTCGGGCCAATAATGGACAAATGTATGAATATAGGTAGTCATTATGTCAATTGTAAAGAAGCATTTCATTTAAAATATTTGTGAATAATAACTATATTTTTCCCCAAAAAAAAGGATCATTCATGATGTATTATTTACCATATGCAAGTGAATGTTTATAGAAGTGAAGGCAAACGCAGGAAATTTTGCAAGTTACTACGTATAAGCGATTTTATCAAAGTGTTCGCTGAAATTACCAGTAGTACACTGGTTTCCCGCATAGCAGTTTGTTTGATGATTCAGGTTTTATTTATTGGCACTATGAGAAATGTATTCGATATATTTTCACTTCAGTCTATCTGATCTACTTTTCATGAATTGTTTTTATACTTTTTGACGCTACTGTACTAAGGGGAATGCACACAAACTGGCAGCTTTCGAATTTGACATTTTTAGTTGTATACGGATTCGGTATTATTCGCCATGAATTTGTTTGGAGGCTAAATTAAACTGGAATATGCGTTAACCATTTCTGTATAAACTTCACATAAACTACTTAATGTTTAGTGTAAATAAACAGCAGTAATTATGTAGTGATATTTTCAAAGAAATACGACTGTATCCTTAAGTATTGTATCCCATATTTTGATGGGCACAATTGATGAGCAGTCGCTAAATTCTAATTGGCTTCTAAAATCAGTGTCCAATCAAATAGGTTAAAACGTTTACTGTAATTTCATTTCGCGTGGAATAAGATACAGCAATGTGACAGCTCTAACTTGGTATTGAAGTAAAAAAATTATATGTTACAGTCATTTCACTGTTATTTGTTTTCAATAGTTTATGAAAATAACCTCAGCAGCCCATGATGTATCTAGATTGCATTTATGAAGAATGATATTTAAATTGACACATGTAAAATAACACTTAAATACCTCGATGCGGATCACCATAGTGCCCCGACACGTGTCTGAATAAATCGGATACGCCGTATCTCGACTCTACATCGCAAACATTACCGAATGCAGGAAGGCCATCTTCTGATCGTTTGGAGTCTGATTTTAAAATGTCATCAATGAAAAAAGTAGGTTTTCTGGAACGACAAGCCGGTATAAGACGCGGTGCGAAGACTGGCATTGCTGGCATTGGTCCCATAGTGAAGTTTTGTCCGCCGAGCGATGTGAAGATCGTCTGTGGCATTAATGGAACTGGACAATGCATGGTACCGATCACTGGATGCAAATGTGTAGGCGACAGAGTTATATTCTCTCATATGAACATAGAAACAACCGGTAATCAAGCCAATCAGGATGCACAAGTAGTCATCGTGAAGTAAATCTGTCTTCAGAGTAGTTTACAGGTAAACAAGAAGTTTATGAAACGCGGTGGTCTATATGAGTCATACTACTGTCTCTCATGGTGTTTATGTTTTCCCATGTCGGGGCCGTCTATTCTACCACAAAGGGGTGACGCCTACTGTATTTGCACGCGATTTTCTCGCGTAAATTGGCTCCGTGCTCGCCTCTTCATAAAACTTGAAATATGTTAGTGTATTTTTTAGAGGAATGATGAAAGACGAATTTCAGTTATTATTTAAAACCGCGTAATTCAATTAACTGCTAGTTAATCTAAGGATTTAAGAATAGATCATTCCCAATTGTCGTCACGTTCCTTGTTATCATTAACATATTTAAAACTAATTGCTTGTTTTACTCTCACTCCGCATCACGGTGTTTTACAATTCCACGTGATAGTCCTGGGTTGGAAGAGTGTAACTACAATTCTATTGATTCATTTCTTTGCAGCCACGCTCTTCGTGGTGACAGTTCTTTATATCAGATGTACTGTAAAACATGTCATTTTAGCTAGCACATTATTTTAGCTAATTTAGCTAACAGGACAACAGCTGACAGTACGAATTTTTTTTTCAAATCTATTATCAAAAATTAGTAGTGACACTAACTCACCAGCGATAGATTGACAGCATTGTTTATGCCAATTAATTAATTAATTGTGTGATTGACTAAATTTACGAAAATAAATGATGAATTAGTATTAATTTTTCTCGCGCCCTCTAAAACGTGTGGCAGTATGTGCTTTATTTTAAAGTTTGTCACATCTCGTGAAAATGAAATCAAGTTGTTAGCATCAAAGAACTAAAACACAAAAACGCATTCAAAGAATGAACACCAACTTTTTGACAAAGTTGGTGGAATAAGATGGTGTGAACTTGTATATTTCATAGACGCACATGAATCAGTCACGTGACGGACAAGCTGGTGTACATGTATACGGCGTCTGGGAGGTCCAAGTGATTGGCAAGCCAAAGTAATTAGCATCATAATAATTGTTATTAACGCAACATGAAAGTTTGTAGTAGCGTGCAAGTGTGGACATTGCCAATAAATAAACTATGATAGTTTCACATTGAAGGACGTGTAACATGGGAAGCTCGACAAACACCATTATTCCGTAGTACCTCCCTTCCATGCTCCGCCCTAGACTAATAACAAAGTTGTGAGATTGCTTGTACTTCGTGTAGCGGGAACACTACTATTGTGTCAACACATTCCTGTGCAATCGGATTTGATCTATTTCCATAAACCAACAATTTTAAAAACAAAATGAACATTATTTGTTTTGTTAAATTCCTTGATTACTTCCCACTTCTCTGCATATTTTTCTAGTACTAGTAGTTCGTTTATATTATTGTTAAACATAATATTTTCTTCATGTTTATATCTAAATCTTATAGATTACATTTTCCGTTATGTAAATACTAGTAGTAATTTTCCTTTCCTTTACTAGTACTTTGTCATTTTCTACTTCTGCAGTCTGTGCCATGGACCGGACTAGTCCATATAGACTATTTCCATGGTTCATACCAGAATTATTACCTTTGATTTTTTTAAGTTCTGTAAATATGGTCTTTTTAGTGAAATAAATAAATGAATAAAAATAAATAATAAACTATGTGTACGATTACGGTCTTTAGTGAATTTATTCGGGATTTATGTCGCGGATTTATGTAACGGGCACAGGCTATATTCGGCAAACTATGTTTGCTGGTATTCAAAACATCGCTTGTATGGATAACATTTTCACGATCTGCGGTTCGGGGAGGAAATCGTAAATTATATAAAATCAAACACTGTTATCTAAATAAAAAGTTTTTTTTTTTTTTTTTTTTTCAAAATCCGTGGACGTTATTAGAGATTCGTTACAGTCACTGACGGGGTACTTGCGTGTCCCTCGAATAGGCGAGCTTAGCAAGAATAGTGCTAAATTTAACATGAATACATTTTCAAATATTGATCTTATAAAAAAAAACTACAAACAGATTGATTCGATAGGGAAGGCAGGTTATCGTAATACTTTCCCCTTATGAATTTAATGCAGTTTGTAATGTTTACCTACACCACGCAAATTATAGGCTGTTCTATTCCATAATTGTTTAAAAAAATACATTTCACATATTTCACAAAAAATATTTAGCAACTTTTCAAAGGCATCATATGAATGTCAGCAATAACACTGTACGGGTCTAAAATTTAAGTAAGTGTAGAAAACAAATACAGATTCGTGACCGGAAGTACGTTCCTTCCCACGCTTGCTATACGACTCTATCGCGTGCATGGTATGAGTAGCAATCAGAAACTTACTAATATATTGCTAAAATTATTTCCAACAAGGTGAATTATGTAAACAACTACAATCGTTTGATCAAATAACGAGTTTTCGCCTAATATTTACGAATGTAAGCAAGTTCTAAAGGTCAATGTGATGAGTTAGACTGGCAGACCTCCGTGACTTTTTGTTTTACCGGAAGTTGTCACTGCATTATGTTATCCGCACGCGGGATGCCGAACCGAGGCTATAAAGACCGCAAACTTGATCGTGAATAGTTTGTATTTTACTCACATTTCTGAAGGTCAAATCGCTGCCTGTCAATCACCATGACGTGCTATGGTGTGAATTTTCCCTAATCGCAGCAGTAAATTGTTGAATAAGAACTACTGGAACTCTGAATTTGGAAAGAAACTACATAAAATTGCATGTGAAAAATGTTTTTTTAAGTGAATTAATCGTTTCGACCCAAGATGCTAAGGCTTACGAGCACGAGTATATGTTTTCGGAATATCCAATAATACTTTTTTACGTTAAAATGTTTGTGCAACATTCTACATTTTGTATGTGTTTTCTGTCGTTTTTATCCACCTAGACAAACTTTATTGGTCTTGAGAACATTTTGACAAAATTGGCTCTCATTTTCAATGGGTTAACCAGACTAAGATACAAAGAAGAACTAAAACGCCAAGGCATTGATATCAATCAATCAATATTTCGATTTTCTCTATTCAATAACTGCTACCTTCAATACAGAACATTTGAAGATAGGCGGCGATCTTAAAATAGAAAGTTTGCCTTGCACGTCTTGCAACGTGCATTGAGTATAAAATGGTCATTGCCCCTGCCGCCATGTAAGGTACACATTAAAACTAATTACGATTCAAACATTTAATAGCCCCCGACAACGATTACATTCTAACTCACGGGATTCCAAGGGCCAGGGAGATATTTTCCCACCCTTCGTAATTTTAAATGGTTTTTCACAGTGTGTCTTGTCTCGGTGCCAATAATGACGTATACCTTAGCTGTGACTTGTGTCAATCTTCCATTACCAGACGATGGGAACGCAGTTTTAACTCCTTAACTTAGCTGAGAAATGTCGTTCATACAGAGACTATTGTAAAACTAGCATATTCTTATTTGTGTTACTAATATAGTCAATTATTCTAAATGCAATTTATTTAATCAAAATATATTCATGCAGCAATGAGTATATTGGTATTTTAGCTAAAGGTGTAGCGTAATTCACGTGTTGCACGCCAAACTATCGGCCTCCACAAAACTACGTGTTATAAGTATAGTCGTTACCATGCTATACCAGGTACAATAACGATACTAGACGTCTGATACTAACCAGACAGCTAGGGGTGCTTAATATGTGGTAGGTCGTTTAACATCAGCTGGGCGTAACAGCGAAAAGTGAATTCACGTTGTGTTCAGAATGCTACAAATACTAACAATGTATTGAATATTGCGAACTCATTACTCGTTACTTAATACTTTAATTATGTTTCTCAAGCCTGAATAAACTTAACACCTCACAACAGGAGCTCTATACAAAGCTCTGCTTACTTTTGGATATTATAGCAATGTTCCAAAACACACACACACGGGAATCTGACACGTTAGGAATCCGCCGTATACGTCGGATTGTTCATTGGGTTGATTCTCTGCGTTGTTTACATCGGTTGTATCGCTGACGATACTAGGAATGACAATCAGATATTACTATTGACGCTGTCAGCACTTGCGCTGCGCTGGGCAGAAATTGTTATGCATAACATAATTTCAAATCTATGCTTCATTGCAGATATATATCTAATGTTGTTCTTGCAATGATTATATATATATATAGGTTAGACTGACGGGTCACATCAGCTTACTCTCACGTGGAGTGGTGTCAGGGGGCTCAGTCCTGGGTCTCGAAGCGACGCCCTTAGTTTAGTTTGAACCCAGACCTCTGATACAAAATGCCGAGTTCCGGGCTCACACTTCGATCTGCCTAGCTGTTGATATTGATATAAAATGCCGGGTTCCGGGCTCGCACTTCCATTTGCCTAGCTGTTGATGTTGATATTTACCATTGACTAATTCACACTTTATCACAGCGTGTCACGGGCAAAGTCTATTATTGTACAAACCCTGAGTATTCCGTTCACCTATCGTAATTGCGTTATTTGAATGTAAAGTATGAAATTAAAACATTCCCATTACAAATTTACTGTACACACAAAGGACAATATAAATAAGAATTGTTTTTTTCCAGAATGCGCGTTCATGCATGGAATCCAGAGGCAGAGCTCAAGCTGAAGAATACAATTCACGTGCCCTGGTGTAGAACTATAAGGAACTGCATTTTCGGTAGACTTCATGTGGCAGAAGCGCCAGAATTGGGTAACTATTTTGTCGCATGTTGATGTACACAATAGAATATGCTTTGTCGTTAATTGGCGATGTGTTTTTGTAACACAAACAATATTATTCATTTTTTTTGAAATAATGAACAGAAGCAATCAAACCGTGTTTTCATAAAAAAAACAGCTGAGTGCAAACACAAAGAAAAAATATCCGGCGACCACATTTTTTATTATTATTATTCATTTCTGTATCCTAACGTCACTAACCAATAATAATAATAATAATAATAATAATAATAATAATAATAATAATAATAATAATAATAATAATAATAATAATAATAATAATAATAATAATAATAAAAGTATGAAGTAAATTTGTGACAAAAAAACTGAGTAGGTTTTTACTTTAAAGTGCGCAAGAGTTTCGTCAATGCCTGGTGTGACGTCACGTTGGCACAAAATATCAAGATTGTCATAACGCCATTATGATATGAAGGTAATAAGTAAGTAGTAAAATGCACTGGATACACTGTAACTGACATAATTAAATTGTCACAGTTTGTATTGTTGCACACTTCTGCAATACAACTAATTACCCATATGTTCAGCGAACGAAAGAATTGCTCAAAGTGTGTACTAGGGATGATGGTAATGCTACCGCTAACGCCACAATTGTTATCCAGCACGTAGTAGGACCATTCTCATGCAGAATGTATTAAATTACTGCCCCTTGCTGATTCCGTTTGTTCTCAGTTACATAAGTCTCACCTATTAAATGTTATAAAGGCTAAGTTGTAAATCCCTGGGATTGTATAGAATTTAGAGTCATTATTTTCTGCCTTATTCACTCTTAGACTTGTATTCTATTATGTTCCTAATTTGGAATCGAATGTGTCATATTATGTGTGATAATAGTAAGAGGATTGCGATTGGCTATGTCATCGACCTATGTAATGACACCAGTAGTCATTGGCCAGTTTTAATCACGTGTCAGCTTCGCAGCATCATTATTTGGACCGTATTTCTCATCTCAGATTCCTTTTTTGGGCATTAAAACAAAAGATGACCGAGACCTGTAGCCGATGTAAAAATTATGTCTATTGCTTCAAAATTAACGAAAAATATAAAAATATATATTAATATATAATATGTTTAAAATGTTGGCAGGGACAATTTTCGGATCACATACGATATTAAGCAGTCAACAAAATCAATTTTTGAAGTAGATTGCTGGCATTCGACCTAATAAATAAAGGCAACAAATTTTCAAAAATATTGTTTCAAAAGAGTCCCATTATTATTAATTACTACAAAAGTCTCAATGTTTCGGGTTTTCATCACAATATGAACTATTTGAAAAACTAGTTTTGAAAAACAATCCAGTGGAAGCCATGTTCAAGAATTATTTCATAACAGAGTTTCCTGATAATTTGTGACAACGAAGTATTTATCTTGTAACTACTTACGGTTTGTTTTCACTATGTGTTGTAACCAAATACAATTTTGAGATATAGTGAGAACTGTTTACCATAGTAACCAACGGCAAATGGTTCAATAATCACCATTTAAAAAAAGTTTGATCTGGTTTTGTGTGAAGTAGTTTGGTGACTATATATTTTAATCTGGGTTTTGTGAACAACAATATAGAATAAATTTAAATGATAGCCAAGCATCTTAAGAAAGGTTCGAGCTAATAAAGTCAGTGTAAATGTATTGACCGGGAACATGGGATTGAGTGCATACAAAATGCCTGAGGTTATGCGCACAGAAGGAGATATACAGTGTGAATATTTATAAACATTTATACGCTCCATATACATAAAGTATCATGGTAAATCAAGTAACCCCATGGGCTGTATTTGTATTTTTCAAATTCAATTTCAGTCTCGATATGGCCCTGAATATGACACCATGATTAATGAAATGGAATACACGGTGAACATGTGCGAAACACGAGGAAAGGTTAATACATGTATCCACGACTTGCAAAAGAGATATTCAAGTTAATATACAATATAGCCCAATCTGGTGGAAATGTAGGCACAAAGGCTCCAATCAATTCTAATTAAGTAAAATGACCAGCCCGTGGAACTGGTTAGTATCAGTAAGATGTTACAAGATAATACAAACTTGCTTCGTTTTATTACAAAGTAATTCTGGTATAACGTCACTCTTATTCTACCTATCTAATACAAATAAAGGTCTCTGAGTGGTTCATTTATAGTTTTTGATTAAATTAAATTGTATTTTGTAAAATAAAATGACTGCTTCGTTTTATTAAAAAAAACGTGAAACAAGGATGGTTTGGTTTGTTCTCAGGGATGCGAGTAAACCATTTGACCTTTTTACCTCTCGTTGACTTCGTTGTAACGTTCTACTTATCGTAATGGCGTGGTAAGCGAGATGTTCAATGAGCTGCTCAGCATGTGTTTGTTTGTTTGTTGTTTCAAGCCAGAGGCTCTTCCCAGAAATGACCTCATGACGGAGACAGTATTTGTAGATGGCGGTGTTTAATATGGCGGTGTTTTGTTTTAAAGACTCACATGCATTTTTGAATAGCTAAGCATAGGGTCTGATAATATTAATGATTTAAGTGGATTCGTGAAGTCCTGTCATTTTACTTCTCCCCATTTTGTACTGTATTTTTTCAATTTCCGAGCAGCTCCGAATATCCTCGATTGTCCCCGAATGTCTCATCACGTGTTAAGTAAAGTATTTTACTCATCAGTTCTACGTCCGAGGTAGGTTCTCCACAGAAAGTTAAAAATTGGACCCTGAATAATCGTCTCGAAAATAGCATCACTTTATAAATACTTTATTTTTGTTTGGAATTTATTTTCGAGATTCAGTGAAATTAAAATCAAGCGAATATACCTTCTTACCCATATTTTACACTCAACTTGTCAAAAATCAATGAAAATACATTTCATACAAAACACCTAAAAGTCTTTTCAGCGAAAATTAATTCCAGCTAAAATAAAGTATTTTACAGTATTCAGTACCCATATACACTCGTACATAGATTGCCTGCCATGAGCAGATAACTTTATCTGCAATATTCGGGAGATTGATTGTCATTCATTTCAATTGCATTCTGGGAAAAGGAATCTCGAATGTGACTACGCTAAAACTATCAGCAAAATATGTACATTCCAAAAATAACGGTGTCGTCTGTGAAATTCATTGTTACTAACTTTAAATTAGTTATAAGTACCTTGGACCAGTGGTTACATTTGCAAAAAAACACTAAATAAACGGCAAGGTAAATATTACGTCAAATTATAGTAAACACGTACTGCGTGCGTGACTCGAACCGACGCTCGCGTACGTCACCAAATCGCCTAGCTTCACGTCACAACACGTCTTTGCCTCGGCCACGGCTGTGTGCTGGGCCAGCCTGAATGGGATGTTACCATTAATGCGCCCATGTCGTTGTAAACAGCAATGCTTTTAGGAAAGTAAAACTAAAAACACGGTGTCTGTACTATTTAAATTATAGACCAGTTGAATTCCACAAGTTTTTTCATTTTTTTTTTTTAGATTACCAGACTTAAATTGAATCGAAATAAATTAATTTCCGCTACATATTCTTTATCCCATCTATGCAACTGTAGAGGCGTATGATGTGTTTCGTCCCTCTAGGTGTGCCTCACAACTTCCCTGACATTAGTTAACGACACTGTGATCACACCATAACGGACGTTCTGCCGGATTCTAGGATGGGATATTGGCTATGTGCGGAAATGATATTAGCTAGTGTGCGGAGATGTACGTAGATAATCAAACGAACGAATGGATAGTGAGTGACATAGACTTGCATATAGAGCCTTGTTTATTTTTTGGTGTTTTTTTCCAATAAAATAAGATGTTATGGGAGTGTATTTATGGCAAAAGCCAAGTTACCGCGAAAATCGGGTATCGCGAAAAAAATACCTTGTTTTCCCGGCTATTGAAAAAAAATAAATAAATAAACAAGAGACTGTACGCAAGTCATAAATCGCAATGATTTTTAAATTAGTGGTTTTAACTTGAAACGTTACATCCTTTATTTTGGGGATGAATTACGGGTGTCTTGTCATATTATGACGACATGATTCTTCCGATTACTGCGAGATCTCGCAAAATGCGTGAAAATGATTTAATTTTGAACTTTAGTCTCCTTTTTTATAGTTGCATGTCGAAATAGCGAGTTTTCAGAGGGTATTGAGATAACCATATTTCAGCAAAAATGACTATCATCAAATGTGTATAGCACATTATTGAGCGCGGAAATTACCAAAAAAATACTTCCACATTTGTCGATTTCCACGCGATGGGGTTGAGGTCACTACGACGCTGATGACCTTTGTTTTTTTCTGTCTTTTATGTTCGATTTCACGCATAACGCGAGATCTCGCAGTGAACGAAAAAAATTCTATTTGTTGATATCGATCTCGCATATTCGTCACCACTTTATGTGGAAAATGTATATAATTTATTACAAAAAAATCAATACAGTAGTTTTGCTTATGGGCCTTAATTCATGCACTGAGTAACACAAAAGTTTTAAGTTCAACAATTTCACTAATTAAGATCTCTGTCTCTTCACTTGAATGCTTGATGCAAATTTCATCTAACTAGTAATTTTCAGCAGTCATCTCAGTCAATCGCGTTACGTATTTATAGCGATAGAGGGTGCTGTTCATATGAGTATGAACATTGTGTGATAAGACGGACGGATACTCACTGTCACGTCCCAAATCCTACCAGTACAAGACAATGCCTTACATTCACAGCTATGTGACGGAAAATTAATAATAAGTACCAAATTGGCCGAATAATTAACAATAAATTAATAGAAAGTGTGTCGGTTTACCTATCGGTATATCATATCTTCCGTAATACGTGTTTGCCGCTATGTAAATACATACCGGAAGTTGTACCAGTATGGTGCTTAAAGGGCGGCAGTCGTCGTGCCGCGTCCTCTTCGATATGGGACTCATAGCGACGTATACAACGCGTGTAAAATACATTGTTTATTTACATGAAATTCGAACACGTGCTGCGCGACGACCACCGCGCTTTAAGGCATTGTTACGCAAACGGCCCCAAAACTGAATATCGCAATGCAGAACACTGATTTCCTAGTCAATTACATTGCTTATCAGCTAATTATCTTGTAATGCAGTTGCCTGGGAATACCTGGTAATTCGTTGTAAACAACGGTCGTTTTGTTATTCAAATCACGTTTATTTTGGACCATGTCAGACCAGAAGGATTTGCTCCATCGGATGAAAATTTCGGCTTCTGAAATAAAATAAAATAAAATAAAGTTACACACATTTATACATTGGGTTGTCATGTAAACAGCTTGAATATATACATTATTAATTTGTAGTTTAAAATTATAAATTTTGCTTCAGTTGATATTCGAAATAAAATAAATTGTCGATAATTGCACGGAATGCACAAATACAATATCGAATACTTTCATTAAACACAAAACAGTATGACGTAGTATTAATGACGTACTTTCGGCTATTTCCTGTTCTACCAGTGATATGACGTAATTGTCATCCTTGTATTTGTGAAGGTCACTAGACAGCGCCATCACATCATTCACAGTGTAGAGATGCGGTACTATGTCTTTCAGTGACTTGATGATTTCCTGTAAAAATAAATCAATTATTTTGATGGAGTTACAAGATATAAACCTCGTAACGCGTTTGTTTTGAACATCGTTAAGAGAACTAGTAACTTCAAGTCATAATTACAGCAAATTATTTAACATAGATTTCCAGACTTGTGGTTAGATTGAATTTTAATTATATTATGCATTATGATGCTGAACTGGTGTGTTGCACAGAAATAAATAAATAAAACTTTTCCCCAGATTCGATCAATTTTTCGACTGCAAATTATTTCGTTGTTCAAATTACTAGAAAATGGATAAAAACTATCCATATTTACTGGTAAATCACGGAAGTTTTAGACGGAACATGATGAACGCACAGCCCGCTGACGCACGCGAGATAATAAAATCAATGCGATCTTTACTATATGGGGGCCGTTGTAAGGCTGTCGCTGATTGGCTGTGGTTTCAAATACCCCAGGAAAGTGTTCTATGTTCTTCGCGTAATTAGGTGTTCGTATTTAAGGGATTTTCCACACAAAAACGACGAATTCGGCCGAATTTTGTTATCGGTTGGCATAATATAACCCCAACGGACCGTAATTCTGTGACAGATTGGCAATTTAGTCCTGATTTGTAGGAATCTGAAAAACGCGTTTCACAACTTGTATCTTATTTAGTTTTATGTCGCATTCAAGATGGCGGCCCCCATATAGTAAATATCGTATTTATTTTATTATCACGCGTGCGCCAGCTGACTGTGGATGAACGTGCCCCAGAGAGCAAAATACTCCTAGTCAGAGAAAATTAGACAGCTTGTAATCAAGTCTGACCGATTCTGGAGTTTAGACACTAATAAATATATTATTTCAACCAACGTTAGTAGTATATTGTTAGTAGTTATAAACAAACAAACAAACAAATAAATAAATAATAAATAAATAAATAAATAAATAAATAAATAAATAAATAAATAAATAAATAAATAAATAAATAAATAAATAAATAAATAAATAAATAAATAAAAATGTGTCTAAATTAAATGTCTATGATGTTTAGAAACTTACCTGTTCAAATCTTGGATGTGCAACGTATAAACACTTAATATTGTGTGAAGAAATAAAGTCACTAATCGCCATGGCAACTGTAGACATAATTCTTTTGTTTGTAAACAACTGATAATATGCCTGTTTCTCTGGTGTACATAGTGATTGTTTAGAATATGCGGAGTCATTGAGACAACTGAAAAATAAAGCAAAGTTAACATAATATTAGTTGGTCGTGTAATGTAGATGCTTCCTGTAACTGTGATCGCCACATTGTTAGGATGATATAAAGGGCTGACACGATACTATAATGAGTATATCAACATGTTATCAACTTGAACACGTGTCATAATGTGAGCAAAACTCGTAAATATGTACCGAGCATTAGCAGAAACTGAACTGCACTGAATTACGTAAACATCATTGAAATATCGCTTGTCGATAGTTTGGGCCAACCTCTAAATGTATTTCGGTTCTGAATGAATGTAACGATGTTTGGGCCAATTTTTAGATTTATTTTGGTTTTGATAGGATGAATGTCGCGATGTTTCTAATTTTAGTTTTTCAATCTACATTGTAGTAAGTTATTTGTTTGTTCCACAATTGATAATTTTGATGCAAAACCGATGACTACATATTATGCTTCTATTCATACGAATTAACTGTGCGAATTTAAAAAGTTCATAGCTAAAGTGGATAGCAAATTCTCTCAAAAATATAATCGGCTGTAGATCAAAACGATATTGTCACTAGAGGGCGTAATTTATAGAAAAGGTGTACAGGTTAAACGTCTCATTTTAAACAAACAAAATATTATTTAAACAGTATGTAATGCTAGATTTATTTGCCTACATTTCGCTGCTTCGGTTTCTCCAGTGCAACAAGACGTATTGTTGACCGTCACACAGATTATCTACAATTTCTTCAGCCATATCCCGTATATATGGCGCCCTCAGGAGGTGAGAATCAATGTTTCTGTCGCTGTCATCCGGGGCATTGAGACTTTTCAAATCCCATGGATGGAACATGACAAGACACCTTGCACAGATCGCCTGGCGGTTGTGCGTCAGCGCTAGTTCGGCTGTTTTCGGTACTACGGTAAATGGTGGTAATATGATCGGCATCCTCGCATTCTGGATGTCCCTCGATCGCCGCTTGTTATAATTCCCTCTATAGTACGAATAAAAAAATCCTTTTAGAAAGGGATCTATTAGTAACTCAGTTTCATTGACGACTGAACCACAGTCTTTCACAAAATCTTCTTGCGTTGCTAGGGGCAACATCTTTCGCAGTATTTGGTAATCAAATGTTTCATTGAAGGACTTTTCTTCGAAGCTCTCTGTGTCCAGTTTATGCGTCATAAAAGTTGGCAGCACCAGTGTTCTTTTATGATGTACCGCAAATCGTGCAGTAACGAGGAAATTTTCGTAAAACCAGTTTGGCCCGCCACATTGAATGTAAGGAAATATGTACTTTGTTCCCTGTATGGGTGGACAGTCTTCGGCTAACAGATTCGTATTCTGGTACTGATGGACTGGTTCTGGCGAGGAAATACCTTCAGTCATAGAGCGATCACTGATGACGTCGCTTGTATTTTTCTGTTAAAAAATATTAATATTTAATTTTAGGTGTTGAACATTATTGCTGGGTATCTGAACGTGATTTTTTGCCAAATAAATTAAAGATGAAATATTGCGTTCGCTACCGGTAAGGAAGAAGTGGCGCTATGTTGATGGATTTTACACTGTGTTCCAATCACGGTGACGTGCTTATTATAATACTGAATATGGTAAAACATGTCAGTGTCGCGAAATCATACGAGCGAGCACGAAATACTGGTGTCAACAACAAAATCTCTGCGGTTGAGCTGCCATTGTTAAATGCTGCTAATCCGAAAGTAATTTAGAGCTTTCCCCATGGTAGCTTAAATTGGGATTAAAATAGATCACAATTACGCGTAAATGTGACGTATTTAGTATTGCAGTTAGACGTGTGAGATGACCCCGTGTACCAACACCTGTAAATGTGGACATATACATTAGTAGGCTGAGGTAATCCTCCAATCAGGTGAAAAAAGCGTGGCTATTTTAATTGTAAATACTTCAGGGCCAAAAATCGCATATATTCTAATATAATACTAATCCCCATAGTAGCATAGTGTGTAAACCTGATTTGTAGGTACGCCACGTATAATGATATACGTCGGCGAAAAAGTCATCAACAGTACTTTTGTTTTTAAAATATATACGAAATGTTGTGTTTTGATTATTTTGTGTTGTGTTTCTCTATACACACATTAACAACGTGGACAGCTGCGACAGCAGCGACCTCTGGGTTAAATCCGACCGACCTCGTATTAAACAAGTGTATGTGAAAGGCGATTACTGAATTTGTGTAGAAACGCCATTTTAGGTTGGAATAAAATCTACAGTGTTCAGAGTTACGAGGATGTAATATTCACATGGCTGCATTGAGTGTTTGTATTGGCAGCCATTATCTCTGCTCACAAAATTCGTATCATTGGGGTGCCATATGGTTACTTTGATTGCTTAATTTCCATATGAGTGATTTGAGCGCACAGTATTAAATGGTTATTATACGCCATGTTTTCTACAATGTATTGGGAAATATTATATTATATTTAAGGTTGAGTTCAATAACCACAACCGACCACGTCCTACTCACCTCGGTCGCTGCGTCAGCTCCGTATATCTGATCAACGCTGATGGCGTCTGTTATTGATTCTGACCTATTCCATGATCGATGTTTTGTTGAAATCACATGTGGGTGTCCCCTAATCACACTCCAGTATATTTGAATAATCAGTGCTGTATAGAAACCGAATAAAACAATCGCTGTCAAATGCGTACGATATTTCATATTTAATGGTGTAGCACGTACCATACCTGACTCATGTGCTCCACTACAAATGAGGTCATCAGTTGAGATGCATCAATCCACTGATATACATTTATTTTGTGGCCTGTCCATATTGACACACTTGACTGTATATGTGTATCCCGCAGCAGCAGGTCGTCTAGTAATGAGTAGGCAGAGTAATGTCGAAAATGAACATCGCCCTCTACAGTCGGGTTTGTAATCTAATTGGTGAACGCGCCGCCACAGTTATTGCTGATTTATACTGGTGATTGGTCATACGTGGAAGTACTGAACCCACTGATCGATTTTACGCAAAACAGGAAAAGATACTTTTGATAAAAAAAAGTTAAATAATGTGTTATTCATAGCGGGAACAATGACACAAATTACACAACGGTTTTAACGGATCAACAGACGCAAGGTTCTTTTAAAATTGAAAACACCATTTCTCGCTGCTATAAGTTTTGTGTGCTACGATTTTTGTTTTTAAAATCAATCTAACTACTTCTTACGCCAGATACAACATGAGATGCAAAAGCAATGTACATGGCAAGACGACAACATTGACTTTGTGAAATTGGGAATTCATAGCAATAATCGAATTGACAGATTCAGGACATTGTTATCTCTAAGTTCGTGCCATGTGATCACACGATTTACGTCTGACATAGTTCGTCATCATATGTTAAAGCAGTGGCGGCGGCACCGGGGGAGGGGTCCCGAAAATATGCGCGACCTTTGGCACGAGGGATTGGGAGTACATCTCTCCCCCATGCCAAATTTCGTGCTACCACCTCAGAGTCTGTAAAAGTGCGAGTATCGGGGTGATTGAAAATCGCTATAGTATAAGCGATTGAGAGAGTTTTTAGAAATATACCTAAGACGATGTTCCCTGAGATCTCATTTTGAGCGTGAGAGACGCGATGGTTTTTTGTTTACTTTCACTCCTTCAATCACCATGGTTACATAGGCCCGAGAAACAGTGAACGCGATGACGGGAGAAAATGGAACACAATTTTTGTTGGGGGGGAGGCAAAATGAAGTCTCGATACGCTCTCGTTTTTAACGAGTTCTCGGCGGCCATTTGCGATTAAGATATGTTCATGTTATTACGAGTATACTCATTATGTTTGAATAATTTCTGCATTGTTACGATTTGTTTGATCTTTCATTAGTTGCGCATTGTTGATTACACGCAATGTGTCTTTGAAACCAAACATCAACAAGATTCATTTCTGCTCACAGATATAAGATAGAGGCCGCTAGATACATTAATCTGAATAGTATGAGTCGTATAACCGTGTTAGAACAGAATTGTTACCTATTTGCACTAAACATTGTACAATAAATGCAGGTTCGAACCATAAGAACCAGCAGCTCGTTTATTTTAGTTTGCCACAAGATTTGTATTCACCTATAATATACAATAAAATATAATTATACATCATAATTGATGTAAATTAAATTAAAAATTAATATATAACAGAAAAGCACATTGAAATAGAGAAACATTTTTAGAAAATAATCAAAAAAGCCCCATTATTTCCAAATCCCAGTTTCTTTCATTTTCAACAACCCCAAAAAATTATCCTCTTTCATAGAAATTATACTAATATTGTTATCTGGGGTTTAATAATATAAATATTGATTATTGTCAAGCATATGGCTTAAAGATATTAACGACTCTGCTACCCGCACATGTATATATGTGTTCGAAGTCATAAACGTAGTTAAATAAAGAACACACTAATATTCAAACATGTGTGTTATCATTTATCGCCCAAAACCAATGGGTCCAATTGGCGAAGCGTGAAACATCCTCAACACGTACCTTTTTATTGTTTTAATGAATGACCCGAATTCTTTTATTACTCCGCTAGACGTCTTGGTGTATCTTACTAGGGAATAAAAATGACAGATGACTCCAACCATCAGTGCATAGTTTTGTGATTCAATTGTTATTAGAAGTGGTTTATGTTAAGTTTGACGCTCCGCGAGCTGAATAAAAGGGACCAGCGCGGCATATAGAAGATTACTGTTGATCAACTAGCCATAGAATGGCATATGCTAGCTTCATGATTTCACTATTTTGATATTTGAGCCTTTTTTTTAATTTCACGAATTTGGTAGAGAAACAATAAGTTCTATTGTTTTTTCACACGTTCACATGGTTTTAATTTAAAAAAAAAATTACTTGTGAAAATAGGGAAATTAAATCCCAGTGAATGATTAATGCCTATATAACGCTTAAAAAACGATATCCGACCGCCGAATAAGAACTAGACACCATGGCTCAGGAGAATCACAGGGAATGTGGGATAATTCACCGATTTCTCTATTTTGGAACCCATAAGTTGTTCCCGAGTAAATCTAATCATCCCGACCAAGTCATTCCTCATCCAATAGTCTGTCTATAGTAACTCTACAGATTTGTAGTGTTTGATTTCAGCGCCTTTGAACAAAACTCAGTTTTGGATACCGGCGCTATATAAGTTTTTTTAGATAGATAGATAGTAGTCTGAGCTTAAACGTACACATACGTACACCCAAAACCGCAATTCTCACTCCACCTCCAACTCCATCATTCTCACCTCATCCTCACCCGACCCCCACCAGCCTCAAGCAATCCTGACAATCCTGTAGTCGCAGAGATAGAGGACCTTATGTAGACTAAGAGCAACGTTTGAACACCCAGCGGAAGCTAAAACTCAATCGCCCCCACAGAAACCTAAAGTATCACTCAAGCCCAAAATAAACTGTAATAATACAGTACAAATTCACAGTCATTCTATCTCTAGAGGGACTGTGACAAAACGTACAATTTTGAATAGCCATATCCATAACCTGACATGTAGACGTGAACGGCATCATGGGTATGAAGCACCGCGGAGGGCGCAACTCACGCGACCTCGTCAAACGACCATAGCCAATGATAAATAAATACTACCTGACTCAGAACATGGAAGGTAGTAACGTTACTACCTTCCATGCTCAGAACAGGATTACCAAAGCTATATATAGCGCCCTCAGGAATTTGATCAGGACGATGCGGTTGCACTTGTAAAAATAATTTCTATTCACAGCTGGATGACATCATATCAACGATTGAAACTGAATGAAAGACGTCATGCCAATACTACACAATACAGTGCTACACATACAAACCTATTTGACACGTACAATATACCATATTATATAATTCATGGAAGATAATGCGAGAGAGTAATCACCCAGTGTACTATGACAAGAATGTTATTTTTTGGTGAACAAAACTATTTTATTGTACGTTAAAGGGTGGCAGTCGTCGCGCCGCGCCCTGTTCGATATGGGACTCATAGCGACGTATACAACGCGTGTAAAATACATTGTTTATTTACATGAAATTCGAACACGCGCTGCGCGACGACCATGAATCATTGTAGTTCTTTTAAGCTGCGTCACTACATTGCATTGTGAAAAAGGTAGCAATAATGCAAGTATGGGTTAAGACCGGGTCGGTCGTTTATTTCGAGGGGGGGTGTAAACCAGACAAAATACGTGTTTTTATATTTAGAACTTGACTTCTACGCCACGTATGTACTTTCCCCCACTGATAAAAATATGATTATATTTCGCCATTGTTCATTGTACTCCGCTACCCCATGAGTAGAGACATTTGCTAGGCTTGCTCAATCGTAATAGCTGCTGAACGAACAACGAGTTTGAATCATGACCTCAGATCACCGTTCGACACTGAGTAGAGAGGCCCTCAACACTGACTGGTCATATTGACGGAGTTGAGTTTGTAAGTCGGATAAAATCTAGTTCACTGCTATTTCACATTAATATCTGAACTCTTATAACGTTGTGAAATAACAGATATTATTATGCAAGTCGTAGATCAGATATACAGTATTTTGCATACTGTACTATCTGTATCTCTTCAATATGTACACCCACAGTCCCTCTGTAGATAGAGGGACTGTGCTACACTCTTACCGCATGGATTCCCGTAAGTACCTCTAGCCTACCAACCTGTGAAACTAATCTACGATTGCTTAGTTCCCTATACTCTGTAGAAACCTCGGCCACATTATTTCGTGAGTGCACAGGCGTCGCGGTTGGAAAACGATGACGTGACACCTGATGATTGAAATAACATACTGTAAAATGACTAATTTTCACTGGGTTTTAATTTCACTGATTCACCATTTCAGACATATTCAGTGGGTTTTAAATTCACAGTTTTATCATTTAGATAATGTGTTCTATGCCGCTAAATTTTACATATTCACTGGGTTTTTAATTAGCTAATTTTCCAGTCAGCGAAATAATCAAAATTAAAACCCAATGAATAATTAACCTTTTAAATCGTTGAAACATTTCTTGGATTACTACGATATAAGAAAATATAAAATGGATGTAATTCATGTACTGCATCAAATTCAACAAATATAACAGGAGTTGTAAACAATCGACTCCCTTGACGCCTGTGCCATGGCAACGCAATATGCAGTACATATTATGCTCTGGATTATTACATTGTTGTTCTATTGTGTGTTTTGTTTGTTCCATATGTGAGCAGCGGGTCCTAACATATTCAATTGGTTTCTAAACCCGTAATATCTGACTAATGTAAGGCGCAATGCATGATGGTCTTTGGAACGTACGCTGTGTTGCTTTGTAATTGGTGTAATTATCACCACTTGTGTACGTTCTAGCATAACATATGGTTCATGTTGTTTCTCGGTAACGTCAAAGAGTGTGGTCACAGGCTATCATTTGCATAAAAACAGTAAGTGTGTTTTAATATTATTTTTCAGTTGTTTACGTTAGTGGGTGTGTACTACAACATGTGGCCATAATATCAACACCACTATAACTGAGCATGCGCAGTATAACCATACTGTATCAAACTCATTAGCAGATATGTTTCAACCACTCATACCCGTGCTTGTATTAGATAACTTTCCATGTTGGGGAATCATTATTTAACTTCCTTTTAATAATATTGTACTGTAGCATGAAGAAGAACGACTCAGTGGACATAAGGAGATTTGGACACACTGGTGAAGCGGCACCAATAAAGCGGACACTTGCCACGTAAACCACGACGGTGGATTTTCTCCTTAAAAAGGCGTTATGCCAGACATAAGTACTGAATGCGACAGGTTAGTTTACAGAATACTAGTATTTTATAGACATTCAAACAAGTATTGAGCAGACCCACTTTATGCGACACCCGCGGATGAGCCAGGTGTACGAATTGATGCAAACACTGAGTACACGATTAAATGCAAATCGATATTAACACCAAGTTGGATAATCCGTCACGATGTCTTACTAATCGCGACTAATTACAATGTCAAAGTCACATGTCCATGTCCGCCAC